TGCAGTTATTCATACCCAACTTATTCATAACTTTTCAGAATGTTTTTTTTTTCCATGATTTCCTGTATATAGCTTTAGACAAACCTTGTTCTTTTTGCAAACAGCACCATGTGATTTATTGACTTTTGACATTTTGAATGATTAGAACTATTTTCAAGTGAAATTGATATTCATTTGGACTAAATTTGAAATGCAGTAAAAAAATAATAAAATGTACAGGATTGATTTGTTTGGCAAGTTATGGAAGTATAGTTATGGTACTTCATGACAACACGAGTACAATGTACTGTTCTCCAAAATCAGTAGTCCAGGATATAAAATGCCTAACTCATTTCTTAGAAATATATTGTGATAAATACAAGATAAATTTTTTAATAATGTGTACTTTAATCATAAATTATATAATCTCTATAAAATTCTATTTAGATTTTCCAAATGACCTTGAAGATCATATCACCAAAGAAAACTACAAAAATGATAGCAAACTTTTTTCCAAGGATAAATCAAAATTAAATAGGAAATTTAGTAATTCCAAACCACAGGTCATACATTTAATTAGAGTATATCAAGACACTATACACACTTTTCTCACTTGTGTGAAAGGTGTGTTTAGTGACTTGATTTACTGGTGAAGTACCAGCTTCAAAAACAATTTAATTTAAATAATTAATAAAATAACAAATTTATTTTATTAATGCTTACAAATTTTACTTTATTTAACTGTTTAATCTACATCAGAAAAATAAACTATTTAAGTGAAAAGAAACTAATAATATGATTATAAAAAACAAATATATCATTTAATGTGAAATCTGTTGTTTATTTGATGATAATTTTTCTGAGATTCATAATTTAAGACTTCACAACAGTTTTAGGACCTGCATTCACACTATTTATGCAAAATTTTGAAATCTATCAAATATTTTTTATTTTATAAAATTTACTACTTTCTAAACATTCAATAGGGATACCTTAAAATTGTTGTATGGATTATAGGTTCACCATTGCTGAACTAGGATAATTTAATCCAGGTTAATTCCTATAATATTTGGAAATAACACACAAGATAAACGCTTTTAAAATATTAAAATAGCTATATTTATAGAAATTGAGAAAAATTTATCACAAATTCTTCCATAATGAAATTTTTAATGTCAAATTATTTTATAATAACTTTATATATCAATAATTAATTTCTGTATGAATATTTATCTAACTTTCATAATAAATAAATTTTTTAAAAATAAAATTGTTTATTTTTAAAAAGTTTATTTACTAACTTCTTAAAATAAAACTATTTTTATCTTCAAATACTACAATTTTCAATATTGTCCCCGTAAATCTTTAAAAAGCAAGAAATCAAATAGAATCAATTCAATTAATTAAAATATCTGTAACTGTAAGACAGATAATAGTAAAGGCTTATCACACCAATGATAATGGTCACAAACGCTCAAGAATCAAAGTAAAAACATTTAATAAAACAAAAAGGGGTGTACAATAAGATGATTACATAAGTATAAAAACCATAAAAATCGAAAATGCATTTTGGACTATTTTCCAATAGAAACATAGTCCCTCATCAGTTGGTATTAACGAGAAGTCTTAGTATACTTAAAAATTACACAAGGTGAAAAAAAATTAAATTTAAAATTAAACTTAAACTATGCCTAAAGCTATACAATATAAAGATGAAAACATTGCCACGACTGTATGAGCAGTAAGCATTATCAATGTAGACAGGAGTAATATTTCTTCCTAATGTTGCATGGTAATGTGACAAACAGGATGCTGATACAAAAATAGTTATGAGTTAGCCAAAATATTGGTTAACAGTTATGAACTAATGTTATACAGTTTAAATTATATATATATATAAAAAACAGTAGGACAACAGAGTTGCAGGTTCAGACATTTCTACAAGATGCAGGGAGTGGTTACAAAAGAGGTGTGTTACCTTACACATCTGGAGCACAAGTGGTGACAACATATGATGCAGCAGATGTCATTGTTAATTTTATGTATTTCATCCTTTACAGTCATGGCAATGTTTTCATCTTTATATTGTATAGCTTTAGGCATAGTTTTAAGTTTAATTTTAAATTTAATTTTTTTTCACTTTGTATAATTTTTAAGTATACTAAGACCTCTCGTTAATACCAACTGACGAGGGACTATCTTTCTATTGGAAAATAGTCTGAAATGAATTTTGGATTTTTACAGTTTTTATACTTATGTAATTATCTTATTGTGCACCCCTTTTTGTTTTATTAAATGTTTTTACTTTGATTCTTGAGCATTTGTGACCATTATCATTGGTGTGATAAGCCCTTACTATTTATCTGTTTTACGGTTATAGATATTTTAATTAATTGAATTATACTTAGGGCTAAATGCAATTTCTGTAATAAGAATCAATTCAGTTATAAAAGCTAATCTCTACCAAAAAAATGTTTGTCCTCTCTTTCTATTCTTCTTTTTTCATACTTTTATTTTCAGTATAATTAAGATTTAATTAATTAAAATTAACATTATCATAGAATTTTAATTTCATATTATTTAAAAAAATACAGTACTTAAAAATTACTTATGTATAATATATACAAGCTAATATTTAAATATTAGCATTTAATAAAAATTGTATTTTTAATTGTGTGTGTCTATATTTACATACATATAATAGATATACTGTATATTATAATGTAATTTGTTTATTTTAAATTACACATAATAAAATAATAAGATATGTTGATCAGAATAAGTCATTATTTGTATAGAATTAATAGAAGAAAGAATTATTTAAATAAAATGAATATGAAAGCAGTAGTGTAAATAAATACAGTACAAAGCTTGCAAGGCCTGGAGTGCAAGCAGCTCCCAGCAAAGAGGGGGTCGAATATCTAGTAAAATTCCTTTGAATGGTTGTATTTCATGCTAAAGTATAACCAAGAAGTTGGTCCCAACTTTTTAGTTATATTATAGCATGAAAGACATGTAAGTGTAAGAAGAAATAACCAAAGCTATAGGAATTGATCCTTTTGTGTTTTATTTAATTTAGCATAGTATTGTATGATGACAGCTATTTAATACAATAATTATTAATTAAAAGAACAATATATGTGTAATTATAAATAAGTTTTTAAAACAACATCGCTTGTTTGTTGCAAAAATTCATTCAATTATATTTTAAATATTTTTATAACTTCCAATCTATTATCAAAATTTATGAACAATTAAAATAATAGGTTTTTAAACATCAAATTTAAAAGTAATAATACAACATTTATTAAATTTAACTGAGTAAAATTAAAAATTAATATTAAAATTTGTTTTAAAAACCATTATAGTTCAATTGTTCAAACCTCTAATAATGTACTGCAATCCAAAAAATATTTTAGTAGTAACTAAAACCAACTTCTTATATTTAATTTTATCATTTAATTAGTAGTAGTAATCAGAGTTTTTCCAATATGAAAAACACAGATTTTACTTCTCAATCTTTTATTTTTTTTAAAAGAAGATATAATTAACAAATTCTAAAAGTTAAAAAAAAAAAATTCTGTTTACACTGTTTACAAAACACATGTTGTCAAGAACAAGTAAAACAAATTTTAATTAAAATACTGAGAACTGTTCAAATTAGAATATATTTAAAATAATCTTTTAGTCAAATTTTTTTCTAAATATACAACATAAAAAATATATATAAAGTATTTTGAACAGCAATATTTAACTATAAATATAAACAAAAATTGTTAATTTTTTCTTACTAATCCAAATTAAATATTTAATTATAACATAAGTAATCATAGCATATTCCAGGCTCTTTCAAGAAAAGACCTGTTTGAATTATTGTTTTTCATCATTGGAATTGTCACCAAGAATAAATGTTCTCTCTTTTTCTTACAATTTTTTAATACAGATATTTCTATAAAACATTCATTGATCCTTTCATTACAAAATATTATAATTTATAATAAATTTAATAAGCATTGTTCAAAATTTAAACGAAAAACTACTTTATGATACCATTGTGAATTTTTTTTTTTGACAACAATATAGAAATTCTTTTAAATAGGATGTTTATTGTCAAGTAATAAAATTAAACAAAAATGGCTAAAATCTTAAAAGCACGGCATGTATTTACATCTTTGCACGTACATACAGTACACCTTTGAAAATGACCAAACTATAATTTATCATCATTAGCAAAATGTTATTTTATATTTTTTTTATTGGAAGCAATCCAATTTTTTTTATGTAACCAATAAGGCTTCTTACAATAAATAAAAACATAATTTATTATTGTGTGTATACTATAATAAATTCTCCAATAGAAGGATTTCCTGCAAGAAATTCCGCATAACAAATTTTTCTCCATTGGATTTAATATTGTGTTTAGTGCATTTATTTTAAATGATGTTTATTTTAACCATATCTCTTTTTTTTTTCTTCTTCTTTTTAAATTTTTGACAAAACAAATATATGAGCAAAGTAACACAATAATTTCACTTTTATAGTCAATGCCATTCAACTGAAATGAGTAATTCAAAAGTATAAAAAGTAATAAATAAAACAAGAATAAATTTTTTAAAATTTTATATATACAGTTTTCTAGAAAATTTTCTTCTGGAAAAAAATTTCTAGAAATTATTCCAGAAAAAGTAAAGTTGAAAGAAACGTTTTAAAGTCTTATATAAACATCTCTTGGATATTTTTAAAGTGTGTTTACTGTTAAAAANAATTTGTGGTGGAGAGCATATATATTAAATTAAATAAATTCGTCTCGGTCGATCCCAGAAAACCCTGCAGAATTACGTAATTTAAAATTTTGAATTTGAAATCGACATTTGTAAAAATAATAAAATATTTACGATTAATTTCACAATTTAAATACTACATTTGTTTTTTTGTAATTTTATTTATTACTTTATTTACTAAATAGAGGCATTACTCATAAGCAATTAAATAACTGATACATAAATGATTATGAAACTTACGCTTGTGTTGACGTCTCCATTTTGATCACCATAGTGATTCGCGTCACCGATCACCGCCAGGCGGCGCTGCGACCTTAATACATAAATAGACGAGATTCGAGAGGGTGAGGGAGAAGCTGCCGTCGAACGGGAGGAGTTTATGAGGGAAAGCTGGTTATTTTTTTGTTTATACGTCCTGCCACTTCCAAAAAGAGATGTATGACAGATCAGGTAATGCATGTAGCATGTAAAAAGAGCCAGAAAGTTAAATAGATAATGTTTATAAAGGTATAAGAATAGGGAGTATATAAGAATTCACCTGTAGTTTAGCATCATAGCAGTTTTATTTAGAGAAGCAGCAGAATGCGAATGCCAGTGGCTTCTGACATCTGCTACATAGATGTTGACACCGACTGTGACGCTTCTGCCGTAGAGTCGTGCAGCAATATATCTGCCGGGAAAAGTAACGAGAGATGTCAAAAACTGCGTAAGTGTGGTAAGATCGTGATCAGAACGGATGGAATGTGTGGAAAAAAGAAGAATGTACCGTCCGAATTGAACGACGTTCAAGCAAATAGTCTAGATATGAACCACCTTCGCTTTCTACTAGAATGTTTCGTGTTATCTTTCGGACCCGAAGGACCACAGTTGGGGCGTAACCATCCCGATTCCGATCCAGAACGTTACGCTACAAATCTGACGGACGAATCCTCATCGAATACTTACGATAGGATCTCGGACGGAGGTCAAAGTCCAATTAGATCCATATTCAAATCGAGCCCTTCTTCCATTCAGAATAATAGAAACAACTACAGATACTCTTCCTGGAACATTCATGTACGTTCGGAGCTACTAGATGACTACGAAATTCCATTTCCAGATGAATTATTACTCAGAGAGCTATCGGAGATGCGTACTCTACTAGAGAGACTGCTAGAAAATCGTGAAATGGGAGAATGGCATAACGAAAACGAATTGTTAGATATATTAGGTCTTCTGCCCAATACTAATTGGTCGAATAAAGAGTCTAGTCCGCATTATCCCGTAGGAGAATGGAATTTTAAAGAGTGTGGTATATGCTTGGAAATGAAATGGTTGTATTGTCGCCATTGCTGTCAATATCCCGCTTGTAACAGTTGTTTACAACAATATTATACCAGCAAAGTGGAACAGGGTATTATTCAGATCGAATGCTGTAATCCCACCTGCCATAGTTACGTTCATCGGGACGAAATATCAGCAAGATTGCATAATGGAACCAAAGAAACTTTCTATAAACTATTGGCATCTGCTAATATTAACAAGTTCACGAAAACGTGCCCCAGATGCAGTCATGTGACCAGAGCCAACGTGCGTGATACAAAAAACAGGAAACAACTTCCAGCTACAAGGTGAGGCATAAATTTTTTTAAATGTATATTTGAATTTTAAAGTAAATTCTTGCCATGTTAAGATTATATAATGGTAATTATGAAGTTTAATTTTCTTGAAAAAAACACTTTTATATATATACTCTTTTTCTTTTCCTCCCAAGATTTTGGCAGCGGTCAGTCAGAGATTGGAACTAATCCAGAATTATTCCTTGGTGTTTTGTTGCTATTCTATTTGAAACTATTATTAGAATCTTGAAAGATTTAAACGGTGATGCCGGACAAAATACATTCTATATTTTGAAATTTTTTCCCATTAACAATTCTCTAAAATAATCTATCAGAGTATGATGTGTAACAATGAAACATTCATAACATAATTTGGCCAAACTTTGGAAAAACATTACAGATTTTTAACTATTACAGACAAAACAAAAGCGAAAATTCGGGTAGAAATTTACGGGTAGAAAATTCTTTATATAATTAACAATTTTTATTTAAAAAATTAAATTTGTAAAAATATAGCGCGCATTTTTATTATCGATCGTAATTCGAACAATAATAAAAATCGAATACGTCGGGGTCGTTTACGACTATCCTTTTTTAGACGTAAGAACATCATAAAGTTTGAAAAATCGCCATCCATTATAGATTATATTCTAACTGTAAAAACTTTAAAAAAAAATTTTTTTAGTAGATAATTCATACGAAGAAAATCGACGTCAATGATTTTTACTTCGGATTTTCTAACTTTTAGGTTATTAATTTTGGTTTTATTTTCCCTTGTTAAGGTACTTTTCAATGGATTCTGCTGGTATTATGATAGTTAGCTGTCATATAATTCTATGTTGCTCGGTCGTGTCTGGTAATCTAACAGATAACGACTGATCCAATAACTATAATATATAATGCTTTATCCGTTTTCATCCATAAAAAAAAAGAAATGTAAAATGTAAAAGTTTTGTTTTTTTTCTTATTCTATTATTTTATTATTCTAGAAAGTGTTTGCTTGTATTTTAGATAAGCTAGATTAATTCTTAGAGATGTAAACATAGGATATAAACAAAGATCTTGTTGACTGTAGAGGAATTTCAGTTTAGTAATCTGATTTTCCTTAAAGATCGAATGATTAATCTTATCGGTTTAGTAATGCGATGACTAATTATTGGGCAGAGTAATTCGGTATCTTTTTTCCCCTCTTTCATAAACACCTTTGCCTTAGATGATAAAAAATTAGCTAATCTTATAATTATCGGTTTGTCATTAAGTATAAATAATTTAAAAAATTGACAGTAAGTAACTTTAAGTATTTGATTTAAAAGAGATTAATAATTTTATTAAAAAATTGCATTATTCTAGTTGAACGAAAATCAAATAGTCTTTTGTTATCGCCGCCATTAAATTGGTTGAAAAAATTTAAGAATGAATTTACTTAAATGTACCTGTAATGTACCTGTAACTTTCTATTTTCTCTATAGCCTACTTTTTTTTTCTTTAAGTGAAAATTTTTTCCCATAATACATTATTGATGATCTCCTTTTTCATTGTCATTTCGCAAACTAACGAATATGTCAATAACAGATGCTTCAGAGTTAACTGGCAACGATTTCTTTCTTCGACGTTCGTAACAAATGAGAAATTTGCTGAAGTTTGTCCCTGATTTTTGGCGATTTTTGCAATATGTACTTCAAAGTATCGAGCCGATTTATATATTTCTAGGTGTAATTTTTTTTTAAATGAAGAATTCTTTAATAGACAGTTTAACTTTGACTCTAGTAGCATTAGTTTACTCGTACATCAGTGCGATATTCAATAGTTAATTCTCTTCCATCATCGACATTGCATCAGAGAATAAAGATTCTGGTAAATATATGAATGAATTCAGTTTGGCAGTGAAAGATAAGCTAGGTTACTCGCATTTTTATTTCCTCGGATTTATTCTAGTTATAAAGATAAGGCGTGAATCGTTTGAATTTGACATTGAATTTTTTTTAATTGTAATCCTCTTCCGCTTCGTTTATTAGAATTGATGCCCCGGTGCCACGTATATGACGTCATTTTGCGGCAAGTTTAATTAATTCAATAGGAGATGCCTTAAAGACCACACCCCAGTTAGTGACTAACACTCCAATGAAGTGATTAAACGATGCTTTCTTTATCTAGTACAAAAATTACGCTGATGAATTGATAGTTTTTTTTGTTATGAAATATATAGCACGACATATCTACATGTAGACTATTGTTTAATGTAGATAGGAAGTTACACCATTTATTTAAATATATTTCACACGTATAGGCCTATTTATAAATTTTAGATAAATTATAGTTTATTACGTTATTGAAAAATTACTCTGTTATTGTTCAGGTATGATCTAATTATTTCTTCGAAAGTTCTAATCTTTAATAGATTGATTTTTATAAATTATATAAATATTGAACCATTTTTAACACGATGTACACAAAAGACTTCTGATTTGCGTGTATGTTAAGTCTGGTACGTGACAGAATTGCGTGACCGATTGCAAATTACCAAGGTGCACTCCCATCACGATGCCACCGATGGGAATAACGTGAATAAATCGACATCTTCGTTTTTTACAATCACGAAGTATAAGCGACGGGATTCCAAATAGCCAAAGAAATATATAATTTTTGTTTATAATCAAAATATTAATCATTATTTAATTCTTTAATTTGTAGAATATACAGTATTAGTGAAAATTTCACTGAATTTATACCAAAATCAATGATAACAGTACAGGCTCAGAGGATTTAAGGCATTTGTATTGTTCTCATTGACAAATAGTTGAACTCTTTTGTAATATAATTTGGAAAAAAATTATGGCTTCATAAGTATTTTTCAAGCTAATAATAAAATTGATTTTTTTAAAACTAAAACTAGTTTACTTCCTTATCTACTAAGTACGAATAAAATAAAATTTGAAGATAAGTGAGCCTTATTTAAACTTATACTTTTCTTGATTTAAATAATTAAAAACGAAAAAATACTACTTTTTGGTGTCCAATCGCTGCTGTCTAGGATGGATAAACACTGAAAAAAGTGTTGGAAAAAAAATCAATTTTTCTTCAGTTTTTTAAAGTTTCTGTGTACTGCTTCAAATAGTAATTTTAAAATGTTCATAATTATAACAATAGTTTATTATTCTATAGAAAACTCAATAACTGGGGCATATAATATAGCTAAGTATAGAATAGTAAATATAATTTTTTTAGATATATAAATACATATAAATAATAATTTAAAATATGCTAGGATTCATTAAAAGTTGATTTTTAATGCTGCATGATTTTAGTTCCCACAGAAGAGAGGACAGATGTTTCGCCATCTTTTAAAAGATGAACAGAATGCAAAAAGTGCAAGGTAAACAGTGCTCCCTTAAGACTCATATCCCTTTTATTAAAAAAAACTTGCCAAGCAACGTAAAGTTGAGTGGATGAAATGCGTTAGATTATAACATCCGTCACATTGTTTGCTAAACTCTGTAGACTCGCTAAGTCCTCTTTTCCATCCTGTTTCATCTTTAATGAAATTTCTGTAAATGAAACCCTTCCCTTGTACTACAAAATTCACTTCATTTATTCAAGTATAAATTACATTGAATTTGTAATGCTACGTTAATTTTCAAGCAATGGACGACTAAAAAAAAAAATGGCTTCTTGTTGCGCCGTCTCTGTTTAATTATCTATTTATTTAAATTTATCTAGTATAATTAGACACATTTTTTAATATATTTACTGCCGAACCTTGTTAAGAAATGTTATATAACTGTAATTAATTAAATTATTTATGGTTTTAAATATTTCTTCCTAGTTTTTATATTAAATTCTCCATTTAACTTCATTTTATTCGTCGTGCGAAAGTGATTAAGTTGGAATTTTTTTCCTCCGCTCTAAACTCGATTAGATCTATTTTAATATTATAGTTATGATGTGTATTATGTGTAATTATGGTCTATAACTTTGTTATTAGATTATAGTACATATTTACTCAATGGTTTTGAGTGAAAGAAAGCTATACGAGGTACACTATTTGACGTATACAGACATTCTTTCGGGTATTTTCGTGTATGATTATTAGTTAAACAAACATTATTATTGAAAATTATAATTATTTTTTTATATGAGAACTAATTTATGCTAAAAAAATTTAAATCAAAATCCATAATACTTCTGTATAAACCTGTTCTAAAGTGTCTTAAATATTTCAAACTGTTTCTTAGAAAATTGGCATTTTATTTTCCATTTTTAGTAGGACTAATTTCATGTAATTTGCAATTTAAAAAAATGATTTGTCAAAATGCTTTCTGCAAATTATTTCATTCACTTTCTAATTGTACGTTACGAAAAATGGATTTGAAAAATGGCGTTGTAAATCCATAAACACGTTCCACTTTCGATTATTTAAACTAGACTATTATAAATTACTCCTCTAATTAATACTGTAATTCTATATACGGGGTAGAATTTTCTATTCAGAATTTCTTTTTAAAAAAGAACAATCATTAGCTTTTAATTATGTATTTTTACGTCTTTAAAACCGTAATAAAAGATTGGTCATAAAATAAATGATTCATTAACTCATTAGTAAATCTTCATGCCATTTCCTTTCAAAAAAAATAATTTATAAACAAATATATATATTTGGATCTTTATCACATTTTATGACTTTTTTAATGATTAAAAGAAGCTTAATTGCTATTTTTTTCGATTCAACTCGAGATTATTTTGAATGTATTCAGATAAGCAGATCAAAGATGCCAAATTTAATACAGATATAGAATTGTCTTTGTAAATATATGGTAAATAATCTATTGTTTATCCTATCGTCATTTACAAGATAATTAGTTGGTATCTATTAAAATAAAACGTATCTAAACGAAATTATAATATAAATAGCATCCCACATTTATTATTCATCATTTGTATGTAGGAAGAAAATCTCATTTGTATATTAAATATATTTTTCATTTGGCGAAGACTTAACAAAACTTGAATGTCTT